GACGTGAGGGTTTATGTTTCCTCCTGCTCGGTGTGCGCCCAGTGTAAGGCGCCTAGACACCTGCCCAGGGGGAAGTTACAACCCCTACCCGTTCCACAACGGCCGTGGTCTCACCTATCGGTGGATTTTGTGACGGACCTTCCCCCCTCTCAGGGAAACACTATGATATTGGTCGTTGTGGATCGGTTTTCCAAAGCCTGCCGCCTCATTCCCCTGCCAGGTCTCCCTACTGCCCTACAAACTGCTGAGGCCCTGTTTACACAAGTCTTCCGGCACTATGGGGTGCCTGAGGATATAGTGTCTGATCGGGGTCCCCAGTTCACCTCTAGGGTCTGGAGGGCATTTATGGAACGTCTGGGGGTCTCGATTAGCCTTACCTCAGGTTTTCACCCCGAAAGTAATGGGCAGGTGGAGAGAGTTAACCAGGATGTGGGTAGGTTTCTGAGGTCATATTGCCAGGACCGGCAGGGGGAGTGGTCGGGATATATTCCCTGGGCAGAGATAGCCCAAAACTCCCTCCGTCATTCGTCTACTAACCTAACACCTTTCCAGTGTGTGTTAGGGTACCAGCCGGTTCTGGGACCTTGGCATCAGAGCCAGATCGAGGCCCCTGCGGTGGACGAGTGGTTTCGGCGCTCGAAGGAAACTTGGAATGCTGTGCACGTCCATTTGCAGCGTGCCATCAGGCGGCAAAAGGTGAGCGCCGATCGCCACCGCAGTGAGGCTCCGGTGTATGCACCAGGAGACCGGGTCTGGCTCTCGACCCGAAACCTGCCCCTTCGCCTGCCCTGCCGGAAGCTGGGTCGGCGGTTTGTGGGGCCCTTTAAAGTCCTGAGGAGATTGAACGAGGTATGTTATAGGTTACAACTGCCCAGGTATTATCGCATTAACCCCTCGTTCCATGTGTCTCTCCTCAGGCCGGTGGTGGCTGGTCCACTCCAGGAGAATGAGGTACGAGAGGCTCCTCCGCCCCCGCTGGACATCGAGGGGGCTCCGGCGTACTCAGTCCGGTCCATCTTGGATTCGAGGCGTCGGACAGGGGGCCTGCAGTATCTCGTGGAGTGGGAGGGGTACGGTCCGGAGGAACGGTGCTGGGTCCCCAGGAGGGACATTCTAGATCCCTCCTTGTTGAGGGACTTCCACCGGAGTCATCCGACTCGCCCTGCTCTGCGTCCTCCTGGCCGTCCCCGAGGCCGGGGTCGGCGCACGGCTGGAGCCGCGCGTCAAGGGGGGGGTACTGTCACGGATTCAGCCGAGGCTGCTCCTCCTCCCTGCTCGGGCAGGCTTCAGCGTTCGTCGTCCCCGGAGTACTAGCTGCCACCGATCTATGTTTCGGTGTTTGACTTGTTGTGTCTGATTGTGTACACCTGTTCCCCATTATGTTGTATTATATTCCCTTTTTAATCCTCTGTCGTGCATTGTGTGTTGTGTGTTATTGTTTGTGTCATCGGCAGTGTGCGGGTTGTTAGTTTTCTCTGTTGTTTGGAGACTGTTTATTTCACTGGCGACTTTTATTAAAGTACGGTTTCCAGTAGCTCTGTGTCCTGCGTGTGACTTCGCCTACCGCATTTCACTGTCGCCGGTCTGACAAGTTGAGCCATTTTCTTTGGCCAAATGAAGTTCCAACTGTAATGTTGTGTTTGCCACGATATAATATCCGGCACGTACTTTCCCTATAAACAATGGCTTGACTTACTTTGGATATTACCTTATTAATAAAGTTTATCAACTTTTGTGAAGGTTTGGTGTGGCTGTTAGTCTATTATACTGCTGGCATGTGATATGAAGGCAGTGCACTGACTCTGGCAGTTGAATTTGAGGTGAAGAAGAATGTTTTAGGCCTACCAGTGTTACTCCTATAATCTAACAATATAACGCTTATCTTTTTTTTAAATATTCTGATCATAAAATAACGAATTACCTCCTTCTGTACACCAATATCTGTATAAAAAACGCAGTAGCCTATCTGACAGGTATAAAGAATGCATGTTGGTGTCATAGCATGCCAACGGCATATCGCTATACAGTGGGGAGAACAAGTATTTGATACACTGCAGATTTCGCTGGTTTTCCTACTTACAAAGCATGTAGAGGTCTGTAATTTTTATCATAGGTACATTTCAACTGCGAGAGACGGAATCTAAAACAAAAATCCAGAAAATCACATTGTATGATTTTTAAGTAATTCATTTGCATTTTATTGCATGACATAAGTATTTGATACATCAGAAAAGCATAACTTAATATTTGGTACAGAAAACTTTATTTGCAATTACAGAGATCATACGTTCCCTGTAGGTCTTGACCAGGTTTGCACACACTGCAGCAGGGATTTTGGCCCACTCCTCCATACAGACCTTCTCCAGATCCTTCAGGTTTCGGGGCTGTCGCTGGGCAATACGGACTTTCAGCTCCCTCCAAAGATGTTCTATTGGGTTCAGGTCTGGAGACTGGCTAGGCCACTCCAGGACCTTGAGATGCTTCTTACCGAGCCACTCCTTAGTTGCCCTGGCTGTGTGTTTCGGGTCGTTGTCATGCTGGAAGACCCAGCCACAACCCATCTTCAATGCTCTTACTGAGGGAAGGAGGTTGTTGGCCAAGATCTTGCGATACATGGCCCCATCCATCCTCCCCTCAATACGGTGCAGTCGTCCTGTCCCCTTTGCAGAAAAGCATCCCCAACGAATGATGTTTCCACCTCCATGCTTCACGGTTGGGATGGTGTTCTTGGGGTTGTACTCATCCTTCTTCTTCCTCCAAACACGGCGAGTGGAGTTTAGACAAAAAGCTCTATTTTTGTCTCATCAGACCACATGACCTTCTCCCATTCCTCCTCTGGATCATCCAGATGGTCATTGGCAAACTTCAGACGGGCCTGGACATGCGCTGGCTTGAGCAGGGGGACCTTGCGTGCGCTGCAGGATTTTAATCCATGATGGCGTAGTGTGTTACTAATGGTTTTCTTTGAGACTGTGGTCCCAGCTCTCTTCAGGTCATTGACCAGGTCCTGCCGTGTAGTTCTGGGCTGATCCCTCACCTTCCTCATGATCATTGATGCCCCACGAGGTGAGATCTTGCATGGAGCCCCAGACCGAGGGTGATTGACCGTCATCTTGAACTTCTTCCATTTTCTAATAATTGCGCCAACAGTTGTTGCCTTCTCACCAAGCTGCTTGCCTATTGTCCTGTAGCCCATCCCAGCCTTGTGCAGGTCTACAATTTTATCCCTGATGTCCTTACACAGCTCTCTGGTCTTGGCCATTGTGGAGAGGTTGGAGTCTGTTTGATTGAGTGTGTGGACAGGTGTCTTTTATACAGGTAACGAGTTCAAACAGGTGCAGTAATGAGTGGAGAACAGGAGGGCTTCTTAAAGAAAAACTAACAGGTCTGTGAGAGCCGGAATTCTTACTGGTTGGTAGGTGATCAAATACTTATGTCATGCAATAAAATGCAAATTAATTACTTTAAAATCATACAATGTGATTTTCTGGATTTTTGTTTTACATTCCGTCTCTCACAGTTGAAGTGTACCTATAATAAAAAATTACAGACGTCTACATGCTTTGTAAGTAGGAAAACCAGCATAATCGGCAGTGTATCAAATACTTGTTCTCCCCACTGTATCTCTCTCACTCTAAGCTAAGCTTCTCTTCCTTTATATTTATTTGTTTAACATTAATAATATGTGTGCAATGCCCTGATGCATTCAGTGCTCAAATCTCTGACAGCTGAACCATGAGGAGGACAACTATTGTTTTAGGAAAGTAAAATCAAATAAAACAATAGGCTATACAGTTTTGCATGTGCTACACATCAAAACACAAGGAATAAATGTGGCTCATTTGGCCAATATCCCTAATTTATTGATGGCTCTGGCTGCATGGGTGGATGCCTAATGGGTTACCCACCCAATGCATATGGATTACCAGTTCATTTCTCAAATGTCAGATCAATTCAAATCTTTCCATTCACTTGTCCAGCTCCAAATTTTCATAACGGAAACCCTGATATATAGTATATATATACAGTACCAGTCAAAAGTTTGCACACACCGACTCATTCCAGGGTTTTTCTTTATTTTTACTATATAGTGAAGACATCAAAACTATGAAATAACACATATGGAATCATGTAGTAACCCAAAAAGTGATAAACTAATCAAACTATATTTTATATTTGAGATTCTTCAAAGTAGCCACCCTTTGCCTTGATGACAACTTTGCACACTCTTGGCATTCTCTCAACCAGCTTGATGAGCGACAATGCACGCACTGTGTTTGGGGACGTTACCCTCCTCTTCACCGGACACGCCCGCTTCCCTTCCAGCTGAGTTCACTCGTGTTCGGTTACCAGAGACCTTCAGAAGTGATTCCTTTGGGAAGGAAAGACCGCAAATCACTCCCGAAAGGACAGGAGCAACGAACGGATCTATGGCCTATTGGAGGTTCTGCCTCTTCTGCGGACTTCCTTGCTTCCATCTCCTCACGCGCTCTGAGAGAGATTTCTGAAGAAAATAAAGCAACAGTAGGCTAGAGGAAGAAAGAAAAGTTGTTTGATTGGTTGATGCCTGTTTCTCTTCTCTAAAATGTCGGCTCTTTTTTAAAGTGACGTTTACTGATTTATGGGAGCGCTCCTTGAACCAGAAGACACCCAGCGCCTCTCATCCTTTTCGCCCTCCACCTCATCGCTTTCACATGATGGTCCAGGAGGATTTTTCTTCTTCACAAGAGTTGTTGAAGCACAGCTCACTAACGCCTGGATGTTGACAGCTCCCTTTCCACCTCCACGAGCAGACCTTCATCTCGTTCATATTTCTCTCTCTCTCCTTTCTGAGAGAAAATTAAAAAAAATAAGTGAGAAACACCGCGCCACTTGCGCGCCAACAATCTCTCTTTCCGTCTACGTGATCAAAAGCCACGGGGAAGGAAGACAAAAAAAGCGAGCGAGAGAGGGAGCTAGAGGGATATAGTGAGTGACGGGAGGAGGAAACGTGTGTTTTGATGTTTGGGATCCAGGAGAACATCCAGAGGAGCGGGAGTGTTATGAAAGAAGAGCCAATGGTGGCCGGGATGAACGCAGTGCGGAGCTGGATGCAGGGCGCCGGGCTGCTGGACTCCATCACAGCCGCCCAGAGGTAAGCCCGAGATGGCTAGCCAGTCAGCACTGGCCCCGGGGAATGGAGAGGATATAGATTGGAGGTCTCTATCTCAGCCCGGTTATCTGAGACGGACCACGTGTTTTGGGACAGCATTGCGCTCCCAATGGACTGTTGGTTTCCTTTTCTAGGCATATAGCCTAATATTGACTTGGGAGATTTGATTATAGCTTGCTTTCAGATGTATGTGGTTGAAGCTAGGCTATAGCATAGCCTACAGAATGTTTTTATTTCTGTTTGATTGTAACTTATTCATGTAGCCTATTCGGTAGTAGCCTATCAAATCAATCAAAATAAACAGTATATCCAAATAAATTAAACATGTCAGACACAGGCCTGATTTTACAGCCTAGTTATTTATTTATAATGAAACGTCAATAATTATAACACAGTAAAACAGTAGTACAATCACTATTTTTGAGACAGGTTGATTATTACAGTCCGTTCGACAAAAAGGTCCCCACATCTAGCATAGGCTATCCATGTAGCGACCAAATCCAAACTATTCATCTAGACTAAGGCTATACTTTGACAGTTCGTAAATAATCTTTGTTTGGCCCATAACTCATTTTAGAGATGTGCAAATGACCCCGTGGAAATATGATATTTCAGCCTGAATTTATATTCAAAATTGGTTACAATGTAAAATAAAGTCAAGATATATTGACAATTTCGGGGGCCAGAACTTTAGTGTTTTACTCTTTTACTTCTAATTGTTGAAATCATTTGTAAACTAATTCAGTGGCATCCCATGTGAAAGTTGTGCTAACGGGGCTTGGTGCTGCTTGTATTCGCAGCGGAGTGGCTCTAGCCCGGGCACATTTCGAGAAACAACCGCCCTCCAACCTTCGCAAGTCCAACTTCTTCCACTTCGTGCTGGCTCTGTACGACAGACAAGGGCAGCCGGTGGAGATAGAGAGAACCAGATTCGTTGGATTTGTTGAAAAGGAAAAGGTGAGTTTTCCCAAAACATTATGAAAGCCATGACCCTATCAGCAGCCTATATATATATATATATATATATATATATATATATATATATATTGATTTGTCATCTGCAGCAGTTCCTTTACATGCATGAGGCTTATGAATATATTGCTTAATTTATTACTACAATTAAAAATACAAATGTTGTCTTACAATAATTGTTATAGATATGATTTTGAGTTTTTTTTATATTCGTTTGGAGGACATGGAAGGAACCCGCTGTTCATGCTGTTTTATTCGATGCTTTGTGTTGTATTTATTATTCATATCTTTGACCCACAACCCGCCGCTTAAAAGCCACTTTGCGCGTCGATCATTTGCTCATGTTCTAGCGTTTTAACGCAAAATTGTAGTATAACTTATTGCTATAGACAATATTACAGCACTAAACGTTTATAATTATTCATGCAAGTCTGTAATTGTCACCAGACAACTCTTTAGACATGCAATTTTATTTTAGTAGGCTATTGTTCCAGTATTAAAATCGAATGTATTTGGTTAAACACAAATATAATTTATTAGTAGGGTATTATAAGCCGGAGTCCTGTAGCCCACCTATAGTCATATTACTTTTATATGGCACTAAGGCACTGAAGTCATTCCCATGAGTTCTATTTATCATGGGACGTATTTTGAAAATTATGTACACATAGTTTTTTAAAGTTATTATATCGTTTCTGATATTGATATCGAAATATATATTTGGTACGTTTAAAGAGAGTGTTTTGCGCCTTTTGTAAATCTGTGTGTAGTGGGTTTTGTTCTTTGTGACCTGACTGAGTGTGTGTGTGTTGGCAGGAAACGTCAGGGGAAAAGACCAACAATGGGATACAGTACAGGCTACAGCTCCTATACAGCAATGGTACGGTCAACACACACACACACACACACATACACACACACACACACACACACACACACACATACACACACACACACACACAGATGTATTACATACCAATCCACCAGGGAATTCCAATGCAACAAAATTAATTTCAATAAAATATATGTGATAAAAAATTACAGTAAATGTAAATGTGTTATTGACATACGAAATTAACACTGATTGTTATTATTATAAAAATTATTCATTTAATGTAAGCATTAGTATTAGCCTATTAATATATCGTTTTTTTAAATATCTAATTTTTTACAAATAGTTTATTCAATAGCCTATGTCATTTATAGTTAGGACTTATGTCTGTGGCATGCTCTACAGAAAATTGGCAATCTTCTATTTGTATTAACAATAACCAATCCAGAAATTTTTATTTAACCTGAAACTGAAATGACCTTTAGGTCTATGAATACTAACAGCACATATACAGTATAGGCTAACTAACTTTGTCTGTTTCTCTATGTATCTCTCTAACATCTCTCTTTACTGTATGTCTCTCTCTCTCTCACTTTACTGTATATCTCTCTCTCTTTACTGTATATCTCTCTCTCTTTACTGTATATCTCACTCTCTGTCTGTAGGTATCAGGACAGAACAGGACTTTTACGTGCGCCTCATCGATTCCATGACCAAACAGGTACCATCTCTTTCATGAAAGGCGATCGTGTGTGTGGGTACGTGTGTGTGTCTGTATGTACGTGTGTGTGTGTGTGTTTGTGTGTGTGTGTGAGTGAGTGTGTGTGTGACTCACAGGTCTGAGAGCATGTAGTGTGGTTGGCGAGAGTTGAAACTGGACTGAGGATGTTGGAAGAGGTGCTGGAAGGGCCAGATGGTGCACTATACTACAGTCTGGCAGACCAACTGTTCACACACACACACAAACACACACACGTTATGTATCTCATGCTACCAGATGAAAACCACTTGGTGTGTGGTTGTAAAGAAGAATCACCACGAGGCAAACTCTGTTTTACTAACAAACCAAACCTCCCTCTCTCTCTCTCTCTCTCTCTCTCTCTCTCTCTCTCTCTCTCTCTCTCTCTCTCTCTCTCTCTCTCTCTCTCTCTCTCTCTCTCTCTCTCTCTCTCTCTCGCTCACTCTCTCAATTTAATTTAAGGGCTTTATTGTCATGGGAAACATATGTTAACATTGCCAAACAAAAGTGAAATAAACAATAAAAAGTTAACAGTAAACATTACACTCACAAAAGTTCCAAAGGAATAGAGACATTTGAAATGTCATATTATGTCAATATACAGTGTTGTAACGATGTTCAAATAGTTAAAGTACAAAAGGGAAAATAAGTAAACATAAATATGGGTTGTATTTACAATGGTGTTTGTTCTTCACAAATCTTGCTGCTGTGATGGCACACTGTGGTATTTCACCCAATAGATATGGGAGTTTATCAAAATTGGATTTGTTTTCTCTGTCTCTGTCTCTGTCTCTCTCTCTGTCTCTCTCTCTCTCTCTCTCTCTCTCTCTCTCTCTCTCTCTCTCTTCTCTCCTCTCTCCTCTCTCTCTCTCTCTCTCTCTCTCTCTCTCTCTCTCTCTCTCTCTCTCTCTCTCTCTCTCTCTCTCTCTCTCTCTCTCTCTCCAGGCGATCACCTATGAGGGACAGGATAAGAACCCTGAAATGTGTCGGGTTCTAATGACTCATGAGATCATGTGCAGGTAAGACAGATAATGTGTGTTGAGAGAGAGAGAGGGAGACAGAAAGAAAGAGAGAGAAATAAAGAAAAAGAGGGAAAATAATTCTGTGTGTGTTTATGTATGTGTGTCTCCCCCAGCTACAGTCAGAAAATCGGTTTATTCAGACACGGTATGTCAGTGTACTTCCCCCTCCCCCTGTACCCAGAATGCAACACTCCCCAGGTCCAGTGGGACCACAGCATGACCCAGTTCTGAGAGAGAGAAATAGGGGTGGGGGGAGAGGGGGGGGGGGGGGGGGGGGGCAGAGGAAGAGGGGGGGAGAGGAGCGAGAGAGAACGAGATATAGGGTGAGAGAGAGAGAGGGGGGGGGGCAGAGAGGAAGGTAGGAAAGGAGGGAGGAAGAACAGGAGGGAGGTGGAGAGAGAGACAGGAAGAACTTGTGAGAAATCGAGAAGATAATATGTCTAGTTTTAGTCAGAATAGAGAAATTGAGCTATAGAGCCCCAGAGGCTACAGACAGTTCTGAACCTGAAGCTGTCTCTGTCCCAGCATCTCATAATAACCGGAGTCACCTCCCCTTACTTACTAATACTATGTTGATTTGATTGATTAATTGATTGATAATTTACCCAGAATTCGGCATGCTGTCTCAATTTGGTGTTTGTCCCATTTTGTGAATTCTTGGTTGGTGAGCGGACCCCAGACCTCAAAACCATAAAGAGCAATGGGTTCTATAACTGATTCAAGTATTTTTAGCCAGATCCTATTTGGTATGTCGAATTTTATGTTCCTTTTGATGGCATAGCAGGCCTTTCTTGCCTTGTCTCTCAGATTGTTCACAGATTTGTGGAAGTTACCTGTGTCGCCTGATGTTTAGGCCGAGGTATATAATGTTTTTTGTGTGCTCTACGGCAACGGTGTCTAGATGGAATTTGTATTTGTGGTCCTGGCAACTGGACCATTTTTGGAACACCATTATTTTTGTCTTACTGAGATTTACTGTCAGGGCCCAGGTCTGACAGAATCTGTGAAGAAGATCTAGGTGCTGCTGTAGGCCCTCCTTGTTTGGGAACAGAAGCACCAGATCATAAGCAAACAGTAGACATTTGACTTCAGATTATAGTAGGGTGAGGCCAGGTGCTGCAGACTGTTCTAGTGCCCTCGCCAATTCATTGATATATGTGTTGAAGAGAATGGGGCTTAAGCTGCATCCCTGTCTCACCCCACGGCCCTGTGGAAAGAAATGTGTATGTTTTTTGCCAATTTTAACTGCACACTTGTTGTTTGTGTACATTAATTTTATAATGTTGTATGTTTTTCCCCCAACACCCCTTTTCATTCATTTGAATAGCAGACCCTCATGCCAAATTGAGTCAAAAGCTTTTTTTTGAAATCATGAGAAGACTGACTTTGTTTTGGTTTGTTTGTTTGTCAATTAGGGTGTGCAGTGTGAATATGTGGTCTGTCGTATGGTAATTTGGTAAAAAGCCAATTTGACATTTGCTCAGTACATTGTTTTCACTGAGGAAATGTACGAGTCTGCTGTTAATGATAATGCAGAGGATTTTCCCAAGGTTTCTGTTGACGCATATCCCACGGTAGTTATTGGGGTCAAATTTGTCTCCACTTTTGTGGATTGGGGTGATCAGTCCTTGGTTACAAATATTGGGGAAGATGCCAGAGCTAAGGATGATGTTAAAGAGTTTAAGGATATTTAATCATTTCAATTAGAATACCATCAACATCCCAGGCCTTTTTGGGTTGGAGGGTTTGTATTTTGTCCTGTAGTTCATTCAATGTAATTGGAGAATCCAGTGGGTTCTGGTAGTCTTTAATAGTTGATTCTAAGATTTGTATTTGATCATGTACAGTTGAAGTCGGAAGTTTACATTCACTTAGGTTGGAGTCATTAAAACAATTTTTTTTTCAACCACTCCACAAGTTTCTTGTTAACAAACTATAGTTTTAGTAAGCATGACACAAGTCATTTTTACAACAATTGTTTACAGACAGATTATTTCACTTATAATTCACTGTATCACAATTCCAGTGGGTCAGAAGTTTACATACACTAAGTTGACGGTGCCTTTAAACAACCTTTAAAATTCCAGAAAATGATGTCATGGCTTTAGAAGATTCTGATAGGATAATTGACATCATTTGAGTCAATTGGAGGTGTACCTGTGGATGTATTTCAAGGCCTACCTTCAAACTCAGTGCCTCTTTACTTGACATCATGGGAAAATCAAAGGAAATCAGCCAAGACCTCAGCAAAAAAATTGTAGACCTCCACAATTGGGAATTGTGAGCAATTGTGAGCAAATCAATCCCAGAACAACAGCAAAGGACCTTGCAAAGATGCTGGAGGAAACAGGTACAAAAGTATCTATATCCACAGTAAAACGAGTGCTATATCGACATAACCTGAAAGGCCGCTCAGCAAGGAAGAAGCCATTGCTCCAAAACCGCCATAAAAAAGCCAGACTACGGTTTTCTACTGCACATGGGGACAAATATCGTACTTTTTGGAGAAATGTCCTCTGGTCTCTGGTCTGATGAAACAAAAATAGAACTGTTTGGCCATAATGACCATCGTTATAATTGGAGGGAAAAGGGGGAGCTTGCAAGCCGAAGAAAACCATCCCAACCGTGAAGCACGGGGGTGGCAGCATCATGCTGTGGGGGTGCTTTGCTGCAGGAAGGACTGGTGCACTTCACAAAATAGATGGCATCATGAGGAAGGAAAATTATGTGCATATATTGAAGCAACATCTCAAGACATCAGTCAGGAAGTTAAATCTTGGTCGCAAATGGGTCTTCCAAATGGACAGTGACCCCAAGCATACTTCCAAAGTTGTGCCAAAATGGCTTAAGGACAACAAAGTCAAGGTATTGGAGTGGCCATCACAAAGCCCTGACCTCAATCAAGGAGGCCTACAAACCTGACTCAGTTACACCAGCTCTGTCAGGAGGAATGGGCCAAAATTCACCCAACTTATTGTGGGAAGCTTGTGGAAGGCTACCCGAAATGTTTGATCCCAGTTAAACAATATAAAGGCAATGCTACCAAATACTAATTGATTGTATGTAAACCTCTGACCCACTGGGAATGTGATGAAAGAAATAAAAGCTTAAATAAATCATTCTCTCTACTATTATTCTGACATTTCACATTCTTAAAATGAAGTGGTGATCCGAACTGACCTAAGACAGGGAATATTTACTAGGATTAAATGTCAGGAATTGTGAAAAACTGAGTTTAAATGTATTTGGCTAAGGTGTATGTAAACCTCCGTCTTCAACTGTAGATGTTTTTGCTGTTTGTTCTTTGTTATAGGGCCACAAATATTGGAGAAGTGGTTTATCCTTACATCTCCGTTTTGGATAGATAACTCTTCATGTTGTTGTTTGTTTAGTGTTTTCCAATTTTCCCAGAAGTGGTTAGAGTCTGTGGATTTTTCAATTACATTTAACTGATTTCTGACGTGCTGTTCCTTCTTTTCCCGTAGTGTATTTTTGTATTGTTTTAGTGATTCACCATAGTGAAGGCGTAGGCTCAGGATTTCTGATTTTTGAATTCTTCTTTGAACCATTTGTCATTGTTGTTAATTTTCTTTGGTTTTCTGCTTGACATTTATTGATTTGATAGGGAAGCTGAGAGGTCAAATATACTGTTTAGGTTTTCTACTGCCAAGCTTACACCTTCACTATTATAGTGAAATGTTTTGTCCGGGAAGTTGTCTAAAAGGGATTTAATTAGTTGTTGCCTAATTGTTTTCTGGTAGGTTTCCACACTACTTTCCTTCCATCTATAGCATTTCTTAATATTATTCAGTTCCTTTGGCTTTGATGCCTCATGATTGAGTATTGCGCTGTTCAAGTAGACTGTGATTTTGCTGTGGTCTGATAGGGGTGTCAGTGGGCTGACTGTGTGTGCTCTGAGAGACTCTGGGTTGAGGTCAGTGATAAAAATAGTCTACAGTACTACTGCCAAGAGATGAGCTATAGGTGTACCTACCATAGGAGTCCCCTCGAAGCCTACCATTGACTATGTACATACCCAGCGTGCGACAGAGCTGCAGGAGTTGTGACCAGTTTTTGTTGGTTATGTTGACGTAGTTGTGCCTAGGGGGGCATATGGGGGAGGGAATGCTGTCACCTCCAGGTAGGTGTCTGTGCCCCTGTGTGCTGAGGGTGTCAGGTTCTTGTCCAGTTCTGGCATTTAGGTCGCCACAGACTAGTACATGTCCCTGGGCCTGGAAATGATTGATTTACCCCTCTAGGATGGAGAAGCTGTCTTCATTAAAGTATGGGGATTCTAGTGGGGGGATATAGGTAGCACACAGGTGGAAATTTTTCTCTGTTGAGTTCATTTCCTTTTGAATTTCTAGCCAAATGTAAAATGTTCCTGTTTTGATTAATGTAATAGAGTGAGTTTGGTCTGCTCTGTATCAAATTAGCATAACCCCCGAGTCCCTTCCCTGTTTCACACCTGGTAGTTTGGTGGATGGGACTACCAGCTCTCTGTAACCTAGAGGGCAACCAGTGGGTCCGTCTCCTCTATACCACACTGTAAAAATGGTCCCTGTAAATGTACAGCATTATACTGGCACCACTGTGGCCAGCTTAATACTGTTAATTTTCCTTTTCAGCAGAGATGCTGTAATATGTTTTACAGTACTATTTTCCTTACTGTAAAGACATATTACAGCATCCTTGCTGTAAATGTACAGGGATGCTGTAATGTTTTACAGTAAGGAAAATAGTACTGTAAATCAAAATTCAGCAGCCTGATGGTCTGGGGGTAGAAATGATTGGCAAGTCTTCCAGTTTTTGCCATAATGCTCCTGTGCCACCCGTGTCTGAGTAATGAAAACGGGGAGAACAGGCCATGGCTCGGGTGGCTGAGGTCCCTAATGATCTTCTTGGCCTTCCTGCGAAACCTGGTGTTGTAGGTGTCCTGGAGGGCAGGCAGTGTGCACCCAATGGTGCGTTCGGCTGCGTATATCACCCTCTGAAGC